CCCCCCCCCTTTTTTCCCTTTTTTTTTTCCTTTTACTTCGCTTTGCCTGTGCACAAGAACGAGCCGCTAGCATTCACTAGAGAAAATCTGCTAAAGGCTTGCCAATACCTAAAGCCAGCCAGATGCGGGCTGTGAAAACAGCCCTCAGAGTCTGCTGGCACCTCTTGTCGGTACCAGGGAGAACAGTAGTTTCTTTTCAAGCATTTGCTATATTCGTTGAATACGGACATTCGTTGAACTGTCTTCCTCTCTGTCATCCAGAGCTCTTGGGGCAGGGTGTGGGGGGAGCTTTCCATCTCTCATCAGCGTAACTTGGAGTGCTTCTGGGAAGCACGCTAGCGTTTGCGCGTCACGCGTTTTAGTGACGGAAGGCCAGCTGCTGTGAGATTGCTGGCACAAAGACCTCTCTCTCCTCCAGATGATGGCTGGGCTACAGAACATCTTTAGGAAGCGGGAGTTTCTACAGCGTTCTCACCGTGATCACCGGAGGAGTCAAGTTCTTTCTGGTTGAACGGTAGCGTTGGGATAGAAGCTTCAGAAAGAAAACTCCTGTGTTGAGAAGAGCGTTACCTCTTTCTTAACCATGTACATATCCAAATGGCCAAAAGCGTCTGCTGCAGAAATGCTCTCTGCATTTAAAGCATGTTGGCATGGAAAGAAACAAGTAAAGACCATTTTCTTTTGCTGGGAAGCTCGAGAGACAAGTCTGTCTCAAAGCCAGTCGTAAACTAGCTGTGTGGATAAGGTAGAGGACTTAATTTGGGCACTTGGGCTTCAAGATCCTCAAGTGGAAGAAGATTGTTTATTTTGAAATCAAACAGAAGTTCACTGTCTGAAATATCAGATCCTTTACAGAGGCAGAGAAAAAAACGGCATGTGGGCTAAGGCAGCAAAACACACTAATTCCTTCTGGCACAGCTGTGTTCTCTGTTCTTTTCCTTTCTGCTTGAGTTATGGGGAGCAGGAATTTCCTTCCAAGATAGGAGTTTTCTAGTGGTTATCATTAGTAATAATGTTGGAATCAGAATGCCGTCATCTTTCTGCCATCCTTCGCTCCCAGATAAACAACTGTTATGGTCCTTGTCTGAATTATAAAGTCCCTATTGTTGTCCTGTAGGAACATGAAAGGTTACGCTCTGAAAGCTCGGAGAGCATTATGCATTTCAAAGGCACTCACGCAAAATTCTGTACCCATTTTGCACTTCTGGATTTTCCTCTGTCACGGTCGTACAACAGGAGACTGACAAGTCTCCATCCAGTCCATAAATCTTGCATGGCAGCTGGATAATATGGAACATGTTTAAATGAAGGGATGTCAAATTTGTCCAGCTGCTCCAGCGATTCCTGTCCTCACTGTACATGCAGTACTATGCTTCTAGCATGAAAAGGAATTAAAAAAAAAAGGATTGTAGCCGTGCAAGCTGACAGAGTAAGGAAAGCTTTCTAGTAGTTTTCATACATTCACACAAAACAACTTTTTCTTTGGAAATGCATTAAGTCCAGCTGTTCCCTGCTCCAAACCATGTGTGGATTTCTTACTCTGGCAAATGCAGGATGAATCGGAAAAACAGTGTGAGAAAAAAAATGTTTCTGCCAAGCTCTAGTGCCCCATTTCATTTCTGAAAGTGAAAACTTCAGGAAGCAGAAAACCATCCTTCTTCAGTTACTACTTCGTGGCAAAAGAAAGAAAAAAAAAACCAAAGTGAAAGACTGTGGTGAAATCCCAGCAGAACTCTCTGTACCGAAAAGAACTTGCCAAGGCCCAAGACCACAGCTACAAGACAAGTAGAAGATGGTTATGGCCTGGCATGGATCCTTAAGCTGCAAAACTTGATGGATTTTTTTTTTTCCCCCTGACAACTCAGACCACAATTTGATGGCATGTTTGGGGGTGGGGAGGGCAACGAGAGGAGATCTTGGACAATCTCTTTTTATTTAACTTTCCTTTTAGCGTAATGTAGTAGTAGAGAGAGAGGAGATTTTGCAACCTCTAATGACCTGCAGAAGTGCTTGTTGCTGCTCTGTTTGTAATCCCTGGTATAAGGGAATGGTGGTAGATCCTAGATCCAGAAAAAATTAACATGTTAGTGGTAGTCTGTCTTTAACAGATGGCAAAAGTGCACTTCCATGTAGGAATTTCAGTTCTTGGCAATCAGCAGCATTGCTGCTTTTCTGAAACTCTGTGATCATGACCCTCTTGCATTCCCCATTGAAGTTAAATTAAAAAAACCCAAACAAACAAACAAAAAAGCAGATGCTTTAGTTATATTCAAGGAAAAATGCACAGAGGCATAAGTACTTGATGTCTTAAAGACCTTTGGAAAAATAAGGCGTAAATCATGTTAATTTATTTGTAAGTAATTTTAGTAGTTAAGACTGCCATTCTCCATGCTTGACTGCAGCCAGTCTACCGGTAACACAAGGTGACACTATTGAATCCAAAGTACGAGTCGCGAGTGGCCCGCGCTGGGCTGTTAATGTTTTCCAAGTAATTGCAGTCATTCTAAGTTCACGCATGGTAATTACCTAGTATGTGCCTCTCGTCATCCTGAACTGACAGCTGCGTGGTGTTGAAGCGCATGGTCCCACACAACATTGCCCAAACGGCTGTTGTCTTTGGCATGGGAGTAAATCGGGAAATCTGCTTCGGCTTCCGTTGAAACATATTCACCTATGACAACGGTATTTCTGCAGAGCGCGTTGATTGGCAGAGTAAAGACACATCATGGAATTTAAAAAAATTTGGGTTGAAATTAGTCTAGTGAAATGACAAGCAGCGTGACATCGCTTAAATCGGTGTTGCTGAACCCCCCTCCGCTATTCTGTCAGTGTTTGATATAATGTAGTTGAAGTGGTTACTGGTAATTTAAGTGACTATAAAGATTATATTTTATTCTGAGAGACCTTAATCTCAATTTTTAGAAATGCAGAAATAGAAGATTCATCAAGTAGCTATTGATGACAGGTTTTTAATACTGTCTTTTTTATGACATAGCAGCAAAGGGATGAGTGAGAGAATGGTGTTTGTAACTTCCTGAAAAAATGTTCCTTTACAGTTTGGTGAGCGGGGAAAAAAAACACCTCTAGACTAAAGAGTTTGTCAGGGCCAGCTGTGGTGTTAATTAATAGAAATATCACATTGGTTGAGGTCTTCATTAGGCTCAAGCATATTTTGCTGCATACTTGACAGATGTGTTAAAGATAGCCTTTGCTGAAAGAAGCTTATGATCTTAATTGTTTCCAAGCTCAGTACCTGCACGGGATTAACTGTAATCGCATAAATAGTCCCTTGGAAGCCTATATGATTGCTGCTGGGTTTAAAATTAAATACGCGTTTTAAGAGTTTGCAGGATTGGGTCCCCAGTGCCAGACTGGATATAGTGAATTCCCTTGTGATAGGTCACTACAAAAATTGCTTCTGGAAGAGGCAGAGCAATAGCCTTGAAGGTGAGGTTTTGTTATTTTGTAAATGTAGAACAAAACCTTTTTTAAAAGTAATGGAGATAGAAAAGAAAGAAATGGCAAGAAAATACTATAGAGGTCACAATTCTCTGAAATAATTTGTTGAATTGTATGCTATTTTGTAAGTTACTGTTCTAAAAAAAAAAGGCCAGGTTCATAGATTAAAGTTATCTTTGGACAATTTGCGTTTGATGGATTTGCTAAATGAAGTTAAAAGGATACATTATGAACAGTAGAATGAACACCATTGCTGTGTTCAAATCCTTTACTTTTAATTGTGTGAGTGTACTGTAGCATTTGATTTCAGATGGGACCAAACAAAAAAAAAAAAAAGCCAAGCGGGAACTTTTGCAAACTTACATTGTTATTTGTAATAGGTTCTCCGCAAGCACAAACGTGGGCATGCTGCTTTTGCTGAAAGATTTGCAATGTAAATACACCTGCCCTCTGAAGACAAATATAATAATGTCTGTTATTGTTAAGCTGTCATGCAAAACATATTTATGTTTGACAGTTACAGATGCCTAATCCCGCAAACTGCGTAGGTTAGACTAGTAATCAAAGAATACGTGTCTTTGAGGGGGTTTCTGCAGCATCTTTCGGGTAGTGAGCTCTTAGGAGTCTCTGAATGGTCCCATCACGCAAATAGGTGTCGCAGTTCCATATGACCATTCTGGCCAACCTCCTTCTCTAGTAGACCTGCACGCTGGCCTTAGTCTTGTTGTCATGGGATCATGAAGGCTCTTTACAGGCCTGGTGGTTCTTTCCGTGTAGGCATGGAAAGTGCAGGTTTTGCAATTTCATGGAGAAAACGCTTGGGTTTTTTCTCTTTTTCAGTCCTCTAAGTATTTGTTCTTTTCCAGACTACTGTAACTAAAAAAAACCAAAAAAGTGAAAACCTGTCTAAAATATATGTACTTATCTTTTAATCTCAATTTTCTTCTCTCTCTGAATAAAGCCTGAGAACTTACTTTTAGCTAGCAAATCCAAGGGAGCAGCAGTAAAGCTGGCGGACTTTGGATTGGCTATAGAAGTCCAAGGAGAACAACAGGCTTGGTTTGGTAAGTAAATATTTTTTTTTTCCCTCACGGTTTATTCAGCGTAGACGTTAAGCCTCCCAAACCACCCAACTCTCACCCTAGTGTAAAACATGCAGCTGTGTGACTACTTGGTATGTCGCTTTAAAGGGTGTTTTGTTCATAGTTCAGTCTCTACAGCTGGCTACACTTTAGACCTTTTTCTCCAGGAAGAATGTGATCTGTAATTCTCACCAAATTAAACTGAGCTTGGCAGCAGACCTTATTTATTTTAAAAAAGAAAAAAAAAAACCAAACAAAAATCCCCCAACACTTCAAAAGTGACCTGTGGCTACATTTCCAAATCTCAGAGCTCACTTAGGCAAGAAGTGGCTCTGCCTCATAGCCTCCTCGTCACCAGCACAGGTAAATCGCCTTACCAGGCGACATCAAATAAACTGGCAAGGGTCTCTTCCGTTGGCAGAACTGTGTTCCTACTGGGGATTTTGCCAGCACAGCAGTACTGCCACGGGGTAGGATGGAGGGAGAGGGGTTTTAAATTCATGCTTCCAGTAAATATAGCTTTACAAATGTCCCTTTTGCACGTAGTCTTAAGTGCCATTGACTTTCTTGACCCTGAAACTTAGGTTTCCTGATTCCTGGCTTGTTCTAGCTTTTGTCAGCCTGTAAGTTTGACTGAGACATAGGTGCACGCAAGCCCCTTCTCCCCAGCTTTCCCTTGTGTATTTACAGGAGGTGAATAGGGGCGTAGAGCCTGGGAGGGAGATGGGTGGTTTCCAGTCAGGTGCTCAGGTGACTGAGGAATAAAACTGTAGGTTAATGCTGCGGAGCGTACCTCCCAGTCGCCAAAACATTTAGACTGAAGAGTTGTCTGTCAGCTGGAAGTACCTGAACATTATATTCTGAAGCACTTCGGAATGTGACTTGAATTAAAAAAAAAGGGGGAGGGGGGGGGCGGGTTGAGTACCTGAGACTGCAGACAGTCATGCACATCCAGATGTTGCTGTGACAGTACAAGTTCTCTGTCCCAGCTGTTTGTATTGCTGTCCTAGAGGTGATGCCCCTTTACATCTGCAAGTAAAGCTGTTCATAGAACTGTTCTTTGACCCACTGAGGTTGAAATAAGCTGGCTTATTAAAAATGTACAATCATGAATATATAAGCAACTCCCGTAGTAGATCATGGAGAGCATAAACCCGGGAAGGTAAAGGGTGGTTAAAAGCATCTGGAACCTTGCACAGTAGTCTGGAAGGGGTTGTCTATCCACAGTTTACAAAGATCTTTTGAAGTTGGGACTGGAGTTTCTCAGCCCCTTTAGTGATTCTGGAAACATTATCTTCATCTGGAAGGGATCAAGAGTGTGCTTGCTTAATGGTGAAGGTGACAAAGATGTATGGGAATGTGGAAGCAAACTCCGTGAGTGTGTGTGACCACCGGAAGAGAGCACATTCCGTGCTTCAGACCTGCTCGTGAAATGTTGGCAAGAGAGGCTGTCTGCTATTCCTTTTTTTTAATTAATTTTAAAAAAATAAAATTGCTGATTGCAGATTGTTTGTTACAGTTAACAGATGCCCAAAGGAAAACGGCGGAAAAGATTTAAAGCCGGTCACTTTAAACAATAGGACATGCACAAACGTGATGCGTCTAGCTCGCATGCCAGCCTCTGCGAACAGCTGTGAAGCACAGGACAGAATTTATTGTAAATCCCAGGAGGAAGAAAATACAGAATAAAATATTAATGGCAGCTACCTATTCTCACTTACAGCAGCTAGAAAGTGCCGTTTAAAATTAAACAAAGTGATCGTGAGCTTGCTGTCAAAGCTTAGAATAAAAGCACAAAGGATATTGTGCAGGCAGTGGGGTGAGAAAGTGAGTGTTTGAAATCTAGGCTATAAGCACAAGCGGGTGCACAGGCAGTACCGTTGGACATATGTTGGTAGTTTTATAAGCTAGCCTGTTGGTTTAAATCCCAGCCTTTATATAAATGGATTTCAGTAATCCACAAAAGACAGAGGAGATTGCTCTTGCACATCAGCAAATAGACCAGTACAAAAGGAGGGGAATAGAAAGAAGACAAAACACAAGCGATTTGTTATAACGACAAAAACATCAGGTAAACAGGAAGCATCTCAAGAAAAAAATCAGCAGAATGAACTTGACTTCAGGGATATTTTCTCTGGATGATCCATCTGTATGGGTGCAGATGATGCACAGGAGGTTGCAATTCCCTGTAAAATCTTGCACTTTATTTTTTGGTCATTTGGTTCTCATGAACTCTGATGTGCTCGATGTTTTGAACTTTTTCTTGCTTCCTTCCAGAAGATTTTTCTGCTTTCCACTGGATTCTGCAGCGCTTAGTGACTCATGGTGTGCTCTGATTCCAATTATAGCTCTGCATCAGTATGTTTTTTTTTTTTCTTCCCCCCCCTTTTTTCCCTTTTTTCCCTTTTTTCCCTTTTTTTTCCCTTTTTTCCCTTTTTTTCCCTTTTTTCCCTTTTTTCCCCCTCTTCCCCTTTTTCTCCTTTTTCTTTTTCCTTTTTTTCCTTTTTTTCCTTTTTTCCTTTTTTTCCTTTTTTCCTTTTTTCCTTTTTTCCTTTTTTCCTTTTTTCCTTTTTTCCTTTTTTCCTTTTTTCCTTTTTTCCCTTTTTCCTTTTTTCCTTTTTTCCTTTTTTTCCTTTTTTTCCTTTTTTTTCCTTTTTTTCCTTTTTTTCCTTTTTTCCCCTTTTTTTCCCCCTTTTTTCCCTTTTTTCTTTTTTTTTTTTCTTTTTCTCTTTTTTCTTTGGTGCAGTCATCTGGTGTGACAGTCCCTTTCCTGCTTTAAACCTATGCCTCATCAGGAAACTGGCTAGAGCTCTGTGTGTTCAGGTGCAACGGGATACTTTCCTGCTTCGCGTGTTTGTAAAAGAAACCTGCTCCTTGCCTGTTGACAGAAAATGTTGCAGGGTTTAGTTGCAACTCCCCACCCTGCTAGCAGGTGTTTCATGTCCTGGGAAGGTGTCAGGCCGGCTCCACTGACTCACCCGGGTAGGCGACTCAGTGCCGCTCGCTGCAGTCAGTGGAAGGACTGCAGTTAACTCACTGGTAGCTTGATTTAGTCCTAGTTGCATCTCAAATTAAGTCCAGCCCTGCAACTAGGACTAAAATATGCGCCACTTCAGTCGTTTTGAGTAGCTTCGCTGAGTTAGTTTTGCTCGTTGCATTAAATTTAGGTTGTATACAGTTAGTCTTTTGGATCCGGCCGTGCAGGAAGAGATGGCTGCTGCCCTGCGCTTACTCTCAGCTGCTCGCTCTTGGCCCTTGCTGCCACCTTCCATATCTTCCCACCAGACCGCTCATTTGAATTCTTATTCTGGAGTCAAAGGGAGGTATGTTAGCAAAGACATACAGCTTACACTGTTTAAACTAACATGGTTTATTCTGCCATTTTATTTTGGAATCCTTGCGTGAGCGGTGCTGGGAGGCCGTAAGTGTAGCAGGGAGGTGATGAAAGCGCAGGGCAGATACATCTCTATGTGAATTTAAGTTTATGTTGTGGGATTATAGTTAACCTTCAATCCAGGTTTGACTCAAGAGACGTGCTGACCGTTTATAAAGTTAAGTATATATGTAATCTTTGCATAAGAGGGTTTTGAGGCTGTAAGCTATTCAGGCCGAGTAACATGCCATCTCGTGTACCCATGCACCGCTGAAGTCAACAAAGCACGGCATTTCTCTTGGGCCTCTGGATGCTTCTTTAAATCATACAGTGATAGGAGTACAAGGTGATGCAGTCTTTTCTAGACACTGTACAGTCACAAACAGTTTCCAGTTTTGCGAGTTGTTCTAGCTAAAGTGATTACTACTGTTAGCAACAGTTTTCTGAAAATTACACGCTCGTATTGGGATCTCTCTGACCAGTTATAGAATTACCTGATAAATAACAGTTAAGAATTTCAGTACGTTTTTTCTTTTTCACTGAAGCCCTGACTGTGTACTCTTCTGTGTTTGCTGCTTTAAGCAGCTTCAGAATATGGACTAAAACCATACCAATTATTTCTGTTTAGACCCATTCTGTATCTTCATCGAGAGATAAAGTTAGCTAAGTACTACATTTATTTTTGCTTTACAGTTTATTTTCAAGTGATGCATAGTAATGTTTATGGAGCTATGGTAAGTTTGAAAGTGGAGACAACTTTACTTCCCCTTTAAAACGGACAAAAATATTAATGTAGAGCACTACAGCCAGGAAGAGATATGAAACATCACTCTATTTAAAGCTACTTAGAACATGTATTTTTCAGCTTCTCAAAGGAGCTTAAGACGTGTTTCCTGTGTGATAGTACTGTTTAACAATTCATAGCTCTCATATCAGGAGACTGCAAAAAACAAGCTTATTTTTCATGAAAATATTTTAGCTATATTCTCAGTAGACTATACAGAATGTGTTCCTTCATTTCCTTCTCCCGCCCCAAAAATGATTGCCAGCTGCAGGGCAAAGGCTTCCTTTTTCTGTATCTGTACACTTTAGACATTATCACCATCTCTCATAAGTTTTGTGGAATCCAGTGTGGTATTTCAGAAATGGCAAGTGGTCCTTCATGAAAGCCACCACGTTCTCACCTTTCAAGAATTCCCAAGCATGCATTTTAGGCGAAGATGCTTGAAAGAACAGCCATACTAACTGAAATGGTAAAGAATGTTATTGGTCATTAAGTTTTTATCAGTTACAGTGTCCTAAGAAAAGTCTATATTTATACTTAGATTCTGCATTTCTGCTAAGAGAAAGCAGCACTGCTGGTAATGAATAAAGAATGAAGAAGATAGAATTTTTAAAGGCTAGCTTACTTCAGAGATGCTTTTTGGGAACTTTTGTAAGGAGGTTTCCAGAAGTGGAATGACTTCACAGAAACGAGTTTTACAGTGGAAAGACTGTGTTAGAAGTAGCTGTGTGAAATACGAACAGCAAAGGCTGTATGAAGGCTGAGCCCTAAGTTGGTCGTCTTCGTACTGAGTACTAGCCACTTGTGCTCTTGTGAAAGCTAATCCTGAACATCCCTGAACATTTACTTTGTCACCATCTGGCATTGGCTGAATTGAGTTTCCACTTCTGTGTGAACAAATTTGAACAGTCGTTTTACTTTCTTTTTTTTCTTCTAAATGAGAGAGATCTCCATACGTAAGCTTTTCTTAAATCTAGCCCTATGTTTTGTTTACTCAGAACTCTGCCCTCCCGTGAGACTGAGTAGGGCTCTTTAAATGCTCCTTATAGTTACGATAGTGTAGCTTAGCTGCCTGTTTTCTTAATTAGTTCCCCATAAATTGTCAGTGGAAGTATGCTGTGTGTGTTAACAGTCTTCACAGCTGACAGCTGATGGACTCCCAGAAATCCCATGCAAGTCATGTTTACAGTTGTAATTTTTATAGTTTGGGGCTATTTTAACATAGACTCAATTAGGCTAATGATTAAAAAAAAACCCTAACAGTCACAGTCTTTGGCGTGCGTGGCGTGCATTTTCTGTCTTTCTGTATCTCCAAGGGGATCACTCAGATAATGTTTCCCACACTCCTCCTACTCTGCTAACTTTTTTGACCTTGACCCTGAGCCAAGCGTATTTGCACCACACTACTGGATGTCCCGCTCCATGCAGAAGTCATGAATGAAATTTCAGCAGCTATCTTGTAATCTTTCTGAAAACCTTCCCCTGTTGCACTGTCACCAGATCCTTGACACCACTGTGGAATCTGGAGTGCTGGCGTAGGTGGCTAACCAGCCGGCTTTTTGCTGTCCTCTCAACTCTGCCAGACGTGGTGGCAGAAAGGGATGTGCCAAGTCTGCATAGGCGTTCCTGTTATTGTTACTTCTAGATGATTCACCATAAAAAGTTCAAAATGAAGCGCTTAGTGGTGGTCGATGGCTTGGGAAATAATGTCCTGTGTCTTGTGGGCTGAGATGAGAATCACTTGATTTTTGCAGAGCACGTACAGCTTTTGAGAATAGTTGCCTTGCCTTTTGACAGGCTTTGCTGGTACTCCGGGATACCTTTCTCCAGAGGTGTTACGAAAAGATCCTTATGGAAAACCTGTGGATATGTGGGCGTGTGGTAAGAAATTGTTCTGAAAGACAATGTTCAGTCCACCGTAAAGTATTTTGAGGGAGAGTTGATGTCCAGAAGACATTATATTCTGCATCAGATAATATGTACTTAGTATAATTCAATATTAATTTTTAGAAGAGGTCATCAGATTTTTTGTTATCCTACCAGCTTCTTTTGTTTTTTAATTATTTGTGAAGGTGTGTTGCCATGGCCTTCTTGGCCGCGTCTACACGACACATTTTCGCAGAGTATTAAAAAAATAGCTGCAGGCGCATGATGCCTGACTACTTAGAAAACATAACAATTCATACTGTGAGCTGGGCCTTAGTTTTGGTGCACAAGCAGCCTAAAATCTGATCTGACCCATATATTAGAACTGCAGCTACAAACTGTGAAACTAAATGTTTTGTGAATTGGAGTACGGAGCAATTACTTTATCATCCAGTTCTTGAAACAGTGTAGTTTAAGGTACTGGCAAGTGGCAGCTACCTAGCTGAGAACAATTGGTGGTTTCCTTATATTACTTCCACCCACGCTTATTTGGTTGTTTTTATGAAAGCACTTTTCTTTAGTCATAGTGAATCACCTCTGTAAGACTAGCAGATGGACTTTTTCATTTCCTATTGACCATATATTTATACAGATAAATTGAGTTGCCCAAATTTTCTTTGCATGAAGTTAGTTAAAACACAATCACACAGACACCAGTACAAGCCATGATAAAACCAGAGGTAAAAAATGCATTTTCCTAGAACATCCATGATCACTGAAAATGATTTCTCCAGCTAGCTAGACGTTTTCAGTGTTCCTGATCTGTTGTTGCGTCAGATATTCATTATTGCCCTCACTCTGCATACGAGGTTATCTTGAGAACCCTACATTTACTATTTTCTGCGGTATGAATAGGCAGTCTCTTTCAGTAGCTGGGATAATACTGTTGAGCCATTTGTTTTACATGGTTATCAGGTGCGAAATGAATTTCTGGGGTTTGTTTCTTGAAATTGCTTAATACTACTGTGAATTTTCTGTAGGTGTCATTCTGTATATCCTCCTGGTGGGATATCCTCCTTTCTGGGATGAAGACCAGCACAGGCTTTACCAGCAGATCAAAGCTGGTGCTTATGATGTATGTACCATACCCTGCCTATTCAATTATTTATAAATGTACCTCTGAACAGGAGTTTTCTAGAGTGAAAAGTGAAATTAGAATTATTTCCTCATTTTTTTTCATATTGCTTATCTTTATGAGCCACTGAATATAGTAAATGTCACTTCATTAACATGAACCTTATTGGGATGGGAACATCCTATGCTAATTTAAATCTAATTTCCCTACGGCTCCAAGCTTTCATTGTCTGGTCCTTGTATAAATCATGCAAGCTTACGTTATCCTGACAAGCCTGTTCAGACCTCTGTGAACTCCCAAGGGCCTGTGTTTTTCCTTGTGGTTTATCACTTCAACCAATCAGTTACTCAAAATTGTTTTTAAGAAGCCTTAAGCTTCCTAAATACACACCTTGATGCTGTTGTATTGCCCACTTTTGGAAATATTGCTATACTTTTGGAATACTATATACTTTTGGAAAAGCTGCTATAGAGCTTTTCAAAAGGAATAGTTTCATTAACTTATGTATTCCAACAAAAAGCATTACAACTGTTGGTAAGTAAGAACTGATGATTTGGTGACATTACGAATTTTGCAACATCATCCATTTATATTCTATTAAACAGACAGAAGGCTGTTGGTCCTCAGATTTAAGTAATTTGAGAATGAAGAAAAGACAGAACCTTAACAATTTTTAAGCTCTTACTTTAATCCAGTCCTGGGTGGTGATGACTGAAAAGGGAGTTGTTACACCATGGCCTTTTAGTGAAAATAAACTTATGGTCTGTCAAGTCTTCTTCCTAGTGAACAAGTAATCGTACAGTAACAAACAGGGTGACATTGAGGAATTATGATTTCAGCCAAGAGGGCAACAAAGGAGGAAGTGCAGAGACTGAACTATGCGTCTGCATTGTACATACATAATACCTACTTGCGATTTACTGTGCCTATCAAATTCCTATTGTCTAAGAGTAAATATTTATAGTAGCGGAAAACACAAAATCCTCAAGGTTAAGGTCTGTTCGCAAAATCAGTTTGAGACACGGGGTTTTTTTCATTCCACTTGCATTTGAGCAGATGCTTTGAGTGCATGGATAAATATTTTGCTGAGCATGGAGGTGTTAAATTAATAACTGGTTAGATTTATATACCATAACTATACAGTTAGCATTAAGGTTTACATTGAAAGAAAGCAAACAAGGAGTTTGGATAATAATGCTTAATATTTTTGTCTTTATTAAAAGAGAAACTAGGACTGTATTAGAAGTGCTGTATGACCATATGCCTCTCAGATGACTGGAATTTGTTATTCTGTCTGCCATTGTTATTTTATGCTATGAATTTCAGTTGGCATCATGTTATTGTAAATACAGAACGCTGTGCATTTGAACCAAATAAATAAAAGGTCAAAACAGTAAAGGAGAAAAATATTATTTATAAAACTGATTAATTCAAACCTTTCTAATTGTGGCAGACTGCATTTTTCCCCTTAAAACTGGTTAGTTATGCTAGCAATTAATGTTACAGAAATAGCATCAATAAAAATCCTTAGGTAAAACTGTGTAAAGATTGCAGATAATATACACATATGTATTTTTTTTCTTAAGTTCCCCTCGCCAGAATGGGATACAGTGACTCCTGAAGCAAAAGACCTTATCAATAAAATGCTTACCATCAACCCAGCAAAACGTATCACAGCATCAGAAGCACTAAAGCATCCATGGATCTGTGTAAGTAATTTCCACAGATTTAACAGGATAATTTGGCAGATAAATCAGCTTATGGTTTACTTCAGCAGATAGTGAAGGTGTTTAGAGGATAATTTTTGTCCTTACTTGTTGAGCTACGTAACTAGGGGAGTTTAAAATTGTAATTATACAGATACAGTCAATAGTGTCGTATATTGAGGTCTCAGCCTAGGTTAAGATTTTTGCAGAAATGAACTCCTTCGCATTGACTTTGTGGTGCAGAAGTTCACTGCCAAAATTAGAGCATTATTTTACATTCTCAGAGGAAAAAAAATGTGCAGGAAAGTAACTTGGAGTTAGATAATGCTTTACGTCTTCATTTCCCTATAGCCATTATGATAAGCATGAAATGTAAAGGCGGGAAATTAAGGGACTTTTAAAAAGTCAGTTTGCAGGTAGCAGAGGGTGCCTACCTGTTACTAGATCCAGGACTACTTTCCAATTCTCAGTGCATTCTACACTTGGATTTTGCGGGTAGTCTGGGCTGATACTTTGAAAGTCACAGTGAGACAGATAGCTGGTTCCCAATTCTTTATTCATTCCAGCAGGCTGCATTATCTTGCCTTTAAAATTGTGATACAAATAAAGTTGAGTTACAGGGAAAACGCAGGCACCGCTGAATTTCCTCTGAAATATTTCCTGCTGCTGTACCTCACGTAATATCACTAATGCTTAAGAAAAGTTTCCTTCTTGTTTTAAAACGTATTTTCCAAAATCATAATTCGGTATATTACTTTTAATTATGTTCATACTGCATAACCCAAGTTCTAAGATTTTGTGGTTTTCTTAGTCCCTGTGTTTTTCAAGAGGACTTTACACATGGAAAAGGCTGAGTAAAATGAGACCTTGGTTTTGTTGATTTGGAAATTTTCCAAATGTGTAGAAACCTGCACAAAGGGATAGTCAGACAGGGTAGAAATTAAAGGCCTAAGTTTTGGACCATGTGGGTTGTAATATGTATGTTGTAGAGTAAATAAAATGCTAGACGTCTGGCTGGGTGCATTAAGATGATTCTTTTCTTCTTCTCTTAGCAACGTTCTACTGTTGCCTCTATGATGCACAGACAAGAGACCGTAGACTGCTTGAAGAAATTCAATGCAAGAAGAAAACTAAAGGTAAGAATGAAAACTTCTGCAAGGCTGACCAGCTCATTTTGGAAAGATAAAAGAATGTTGCCTTGTGTTTTATGTGTAAAATAAATGGTCCCTAAGCAAATTTTTTCTTTAATATTAGGCTTGAATGAACTATTTGATAGATGATTAGCTTTTGGCAGGAGGATCTTAAACTTTTCATGAAAGTTCATAGAACATAGCATAATTTTGTTGGATTCAAAATAACAACAATCATCTTCATTTATACACATCAAAATTACTTCGTTGAAGGAAAATCCTTAAGGTTATTCTTTTAGATTATCCTTTGTTTTCTCCTGACCAGACAGGATAACTTTGCAGATGTGAACTTTTCTAATTAGCACATTACAAATAAACTCTTCCTACCTAAAAAAGAATCTAAGCACATTAGCAAAGTCTACTTCGTATTCAGCTATGTATTTTGCTGATAATTACTGTGCCTGTGAATACTCAGGGTTTCTGCATTACGTACTCACAGGTGGTAAATATTTGAGATTATCAGGGTTGCTGATAGGTGTGTAATTAAGATTAAATTACAATTTAAGCACTCGTGGCATCACGTATGACAGGTAATGCACAGACAATCCATTCTTTCAGGGTTAATTTAGTAATTGATGTAATTTTACGCGTGTGTTTTCCTTTTTGTTGTGTCATGTTCACATTCAGAATTTTACACAAGTGTGATGCTAATTTGAGAAAATGTCTGTGTACACAGGGGGCCATTTTGACAACTATGCTGGCTACCAGAAATTTCTCAGGTATGTTCATTGAGCTCCAGATTAATACGGTCTTTATGTTTTGAGGTCTGTGATGACTGAGATCTAATTAGGATTCATTAGTACAGAAAGATCTTTGTTTTTCAGGAGCACTTAAATATGGTATATCTCAAGTTGTTTCCTTTGCAGAAGCAAACAGGAGAATTTAAACTATTTGGGCCAAATAGATTCTCTTGTAGATGACAGCTAGTCTAATTTTTCAGTAGAATGTGAGTTCCTTTTCTTTATTTTTTTATACTGTTATCTGTCAAAAGACAGTGTTTTCTGTCTGTTTTGGTGGAGGAAAATTGAAAATAATGCATACAGCTCCACATGCATAAGTATCACCAAACAACATTGAAGAACTTACTGATTGTTATATACCTGAAATGTCATTCCAGGATTCTGCTGCATCCTGTATTAAAAAAAAAAAAAAAAAAAAAAACACCACATTCATTCTTTATTGTTTTGCTAAGGAGTAAGAAATGTAGTAAAATGAGTCCTTCTTTTCCTTTTCTTCTAATGCCTAGCTTGATATAACAAGAGATGTTTCCCTTTTATGAAATAATTTTGTAGTGATAGCCCTGGAGATTTAGATCTTTATGCTAAACAGATTTTAATAGCAGAAGCTAAAATAAGTTTGCTGTTAGTAGAGTTAGAATTGTCCTCAGTAGTAGTATTGCCAAAATTTTGATGCTATGCTCAAGTTTTCATTTTGCCATTTGAGATTTCGAGTGAATAGTGAAAAAGAACGGCCAGTTTGGTAATTTTACATATATCCTCCTACTCTGTACTGTAACTGTTGGCGTGTAACATAAATTAATTTACGGACAAAAACATCATAGTGCTTTGGGCATGTTTTGAATAATAATGAGCACTGAATCATGCAAAATAAATTACATAATCATGAATGCAAGAACAACTTGTTCAATTTGCATATTACTTGAAATACAATTTTTTTTCTTAGTTAAGTTCCTATATTTAATACGGACCTATAACACAGAAGACTACATTTATGTAAATTACATTTGGTTAATGCTTAATGAATTGCCAGTATCTGCCAATTCATTTTAAAGGTGGGAATGCTGTAGGCTGCATATCTTGTAAAAATGAATTATTATTAAATATCAAACCAATATATCATTTGTCATCACTTTTCATAACTGTCACTGTCTATATATGTAAGGGTCAGTTTCAACTTTCATGAAACAAAAACTGCTGAAGTAATTTTAAAATAGTATTTCAGCATGAAAAGCAAACAGGGTTTCCGGCTTTGGTTTGGATTTTTTTTCACCTATCATCTCTGTTTTACACCATAATGACCCATATTTTCCCTTGATGACATTTCATTTTTTCAAGTTGTTTATTCATTGTATTTCATTGCAAAGCATGCTTTTGAAGGTCATTTGTCCATAACGATGTGGTTATAAAAGTGTTTTATTTTCCTTTTTCTTTCTTCCTTTTATGTGGAATGTATATTTCTTGTGAGGTAAGACCCTCAGCACGTGAAAGGAACATCTTTTTTCTCTTCTAAATCAAAATTACTGTTTGTCCTAAATCACTTTAATTTCTACATGTTGTCACAACACCATTTCCTTTCAGTCTGCTTTCTGGCCTAGCAGCGCTGCCTTAGGTTTTATTTATAGCTATCGCTTGTAGTTGCAAGAAATCTTTCATTGTGGGCTTAATTTAGAATATGCTAATTGCTTTGCTACTGCAAATTCTTTAAATACTTGATTTGTATGCAGTATCTGTGCTTAAAGAAAGATGCATCAAAATATTACTAAAAGTACATTCCAAGCCAAAACGAACAAAGGCAGTTGAGTGTGGAATATGTCCTATAACATAAAATACTGCATAATAATCCATACTAGGCACATTTCGAAGGACACGCTGGCAATGCCATAAACACAGTACTCGTAGTTATTGCTTTTGGTGCCCTCATTTTACTGGCTTTCATTTAATTGTTTACATATAATGTGTGATGTTTGTTAAGCATTAAAAGAACTCAGAAGTTTTATGCACAAATTTAGCAAAAGGACCTAGTTTGTTACGAACAACGGCCTATAAGAATTCATTTCTGTTTTCCCATATTTTTGTAAGGGTTAATGGTATAAAACAGGCTTCGAAAGCAAAGAACTTCTGGGTTTTTTGGCCTTAGGTTTTAGAAATAGCTCCTCCCCGTCGCTTTCCCTAAATGAATTTCTGAAGTTAATGGAGTACCCACAATATCTGTGGCAGTGTAGGATCTAAGGCCATGTTGCATCAGGTCCTGTAAGCATACATTGCAACGGGATGTATCTTATCTCAGAAATATATGTAACCCAATTTATTTTTCAGTATTAATTTACATGTTTCTGTAAATAAAAACATGCAGTGGTCCTGTTGCATCAGACAGGCAAATTTAGTTTTGGTCATTTTAGTGGTAAATCATGGGCCTTGTGAGAGTTTTAATGGTAGTGTTGGCTGATGCCCATAATTAGTAAACTGCATTTGGAGGGCTGATATATTAATGAAATTATAAACATCAACCTGGCTTCACTTTCCAGGTTTTTTAGTGTAAACAACACAACAATGGGCATTACTTACTTCTGTACAGTTTCCGAGGTGATCTTACATTTTCTGTACTCTGAACCAGAGCTAAATGAGCACTTAATGCAGATGTAGCCAGAGAATAAGCCACAAATACAAAAATGAACTTCAAGTTTAAACCACATACTCAATAACTCCAATATCCTCAGCTAGTTTGAGCAGCCTTAGGCTTGCAAGGTCCAATTGTTTGGGGGGTTTTTTGTTCTAAAGAGAAGGATGCAGGTAATGATGGAGCTCCATGGCAGGAGTGTCTCCCTTTGATTATGTCAGATTGTTAGCTGCAGCATTTCCCTTTCAAAAAAGCTTCCTACTTCTAAGCAAAACAGCGTATATAGAACAGCACTTTCTTACAATCTAAGCCGTGATACGCCTCCTGATAGGAAGATTGAGTCATAAACAACAATAAAACCAAAAAACGCCAGGCTTGTTTCGTAATTTATTATTCTTCAAGTCTTTGGCAGTGAGTCATGAAGCATTTACGCTTTAGTGAATAGTTTATTTGAATTTGGTAGGTCACCCAGCACGTATTTCTGCCGTAAAAGTTTTCAGGTTCAGAGCTGCGGTGTGCTTGTTTGCACATTAGCCCTCCAAATTTAGAAATTTGGAATGATTTGGCTCTGTTCTCGGTGCCGGTTTGAAGCGGTGGAATTGAAAGCCTAACACATGGGTAACGTTATGGCGAGCGAAGTTTTGCCCCACAGTCCCCACCGCTTTGAAGAAATCTGATCAGTGTGCAACATGATTCAGAAAGTAATAGGTTTGCTTCACCAGAAGTTGAAGCAAAGCCTACCATTTGTTATTATTAACTCCTAGGAAGCACTCTTCCAAAACAACACTTTGCTAGCAGATTGTTCTTCCTTTCGTATTTGCAACTTTCCTGACCTTTCACGCGAGGTGACTGATGCTGTCGTGCTGGGAAATCCCCAAAGAACCATTGCTCAGAGGTGCTTTTTTAAAACCCAGTTTACTTTTCTTTAGGTGGAATAGATAGCATTGTACCCCACTATGCTCTGTAGGTACCTTATTGATCTGATGCTGGTTACTTTTAAGTCACTGTCATATTAAGAACATCATTAAGATGCCAGTGGGCTCTACAGACACCTGATCAAAGTCCCTGCCACCAGAACAGTAATTTTTTCATAGTCGTATCAAGCTACCCCCATCAACAATTGTAAACATATTGCAGTTGAAAAAATGAACGTAGCCAAAGCTGCTGCTTTTACACTCACCCTGCTTCCATTTCCTCTGTGCCACCCAAGGAGGTCTCTCCTTGTATAAGTAGAGTTAACCTGCAGCTTTAATCAATGGAGAAAGAGATGTACGATAATCTGAAGTCTTTGTAGTTTCGTAAATCATTTCCTATGCTCAGAGCAACAAAAGGAGGAAATAAAAGCTGAAAATGTATCTGCAGCTGGGAGGCAGTGGGGGTTTGCTGCGCAGCTGGTTGACCTCAGCGGTAACCACCTGACGCTGAAATTATTTGTCTCGTTTTACAGCAGCCAAGAGTTTACTGAAAAAGCCGGATGGAGTTAAGGTAGGTTAAACACGTGCTTTAAAATGTATTTTATTAGTCACCACCTATCTGTAACTTCTGCCAGTTTTTAGAATCAATGATTGTTTTTTTCTTTCCTTTATAGAATTTGTTAGTAAGTGCTTCTTACTGTATATTCAATTAAAGTTAGTAGGGTGAAGCTTAAAAAATGAAATATTTGAAAAACAAGCATTTTAAGAAGTGGAAGATAGAAAACTACTGGAGAAAATGCTTTTCTTGCTATGTTAGTGAAGGATGATTGTGTGATTAATGACTCAATGTTATTTATTAGCTTATAAATAATGGTTTGGTGGTGGGCATGTTAGCTTTTTAGGTATCGGTGTTTATCTGCAGCTCTATTGCCTCCGTGTTTCCCCTTGACTTTTCATTAAATTTCATGGAAGACCAAAAGTTTACTGGTAGGCTTGGCTCCACATGAAGTGTATTCTGCCAGATGTACTCGCTATATTTGGCAGAACTTGAGGGGTTTCCTATCTCAACAAATCAGCTCATCCTGACTAACAGACCTTGCTAAGAAGGGAACATTTTGGCAGCTTTCATACATGATTTAGAGCTCCTATTCTCATGTCACCAGATCCTGCAGGAGGAGAGATGCTTCACAAATGAATGTTCTGGATAAATACTTTGAAAAACAGCCAGAAAAAAAAAAATATATCACTCAGCAATGAAAAATACTTTATTTCTTTTCTCGGAGGACTCCTGAAGACTAAAATAAGTGCCTCAAGCTTTCGTTATATGATTCAAAAGATATTCTTCTGTGCTCTGTGTGTTTACTCAGAAGTGTGTCTTTGACCTGAATTTTAATTTTCTATTTAATCTTAACTTTTTATTTTAACAAAACGTTGTATACTTAAATACCAGATTCATAGTGTATTTGTTCCTGTTCTCCCACATATGCATACTTTTCCTATAAAAAAAATCGTGAGACTGACTTAAAATGAAGTGAGTACACTACAATTTCAGTGCTTCTCACTGCCAAGTAGTAGATATCCTAGTTATATGGAGAAGCACACATTCAGTACTATTCTATCATTCCTGTGGAAAACCCGTAACGTGTTTCATTGTGGAATATATAAAATTTATGTACTCTATCTGACCAGCTTTTCCTTCTTAAATATCATTCCTCCTACAGGTCTACGATGGTATTTGTTATATCTCAATTTTCATTATAATACTGGAAGCAATTGTTGCCAAAATTTTGCCTAAATTACACTTGTTGGGATTTGATACTTTGGTTTTCAGCACATTTTATGTATCTGCTGTTTGTCTGCATGGTCATGTGGAGCAAAAGGGAGTAAATTTACATCTGGGGAAGTCTATTCTTGTCATTTCTGTTATTGAGATACTATATACTCCATAGCATTTTTCCACCCCTTTCTACAGCTTAAGCTGTCTTTTTCTTTTTTTTTAAAAAAAGCCAAACCAGAAATATACTGTACTCCATGCATTGATACTTCAAATCCAACCAGTCACATTTTCTTCTTTTCCTTTCTCTCTGACTGGTCAATTCAGAAAAGGAAGTCCAGTTCGAGTGTTCAGATGATGGTGAGGATCTTTATCGACAGATTTTTTTCCTCCTGTGAAACGTTCACACTTAGAAATCAAACAGTTGCATTTAGTTTTGTTAACATACTGTGAGAAGCTGCAAGACTTTAAAGTACGACCTTGTGAATTTTAAGCCTGCAGTTGCTATATGCCATCCGCAGTGAATTGTTCTGCAGTTCTTTCAAGCAAGTTTTTTATGTTTTTTTTTAACCTGGGGACATACGAAACAAAAAAGTAGATGTAACATTGGCCAATGCAGCTGTCCTTAGTAAATACAAATAGTAACAAAATAGTAATCTTATAACAGCCTTCTATTAATTTTTAAAACCTCCTTATTTTAAAAGCTAATGGTATTAATGTCATAAAGTGTAACACAAACCGCATTGCACAGTGCAATAGCATCACTTCAATTGAGCCGCTCTAGACCAAGCTGCCACGCTAAATGCTCAGGTGTAAAACCAACAATTTCACAGCCTTCCCGTACTGCAGTTTCCCAGCTAACTTCCCTCACAGCTCAGGGCTTTGTCACAAGCCGTCCCAACTGGCAGGCAGTCTCAATAACTTCTCTTCCTCCTCGACCTACTCTGCCGTCTTGCGTTCATTTGGCTTCTGTGATCCCCCACAGCAACTTACTCTATTCCTGTTTATGACACTTTTGAATCTGACTTTTGAGATGTTCATGATGGTCAGCTGTGATGTCCCAGCCAGCTTCTGTCGCTGCTGCCGGTAGGGAGAAGGCAAATATCCCTCATGCACCCCTTTCACTGGGAAGTACAGCTCTCCTTGAAAAGCAAAAATTGCTGGTCAGGTCTGAGCAGACATGTAGTTATATAGGTAATACACAGGTTATATCTATTTATAGTTATATATATAGTTATATGTAAGTAAATAGTCTGTGCTTTGGGTGAACATGGAATTTCAGCGACAGAGGGTCAGTGGTAGCAGTGTCCAAATGAGGGTCACCAGAAAGGTACGGTGGGGATATTTCATCGAATCGTTTAGGTTGGAAAAGACCTTTAAGATCATGCAGTCCAAACTGGTACCCCAAACGTGAGGTGTGCCTTAACTTTTTGTTACAGAGGTACCATGTGAAAGACTAAGTCCCAAGATACAGGTTTTGTTTCTTAAAATATTTTTATAATATATTGAAAAAAGACCAGTACTGATTCTGCCATCATGCCCAGCTGTTTGGAACGTTTGCGTGTGTCTGTCCTGCGCTACTGTCAGACCTAAGAGAGTGGCTTTTGACAAGGGATGCATTAGTAAAAAAGTTTTCCTTCTTCGCAACAAATAGAAGGTCACCACGTAAGCATAATTCAACTTCACAATAACTGTTTCATATGAGAATATTTTACTCCTTTTGGAATCATTTCCCTGTGCTGTTAAAAATATATGCAAAATACACCCTGTGTGTTCGTCTATTAATAAAAGCACGTGTATATGTTCTATGAGAGAGAGAAAGCGTACAGGCTTACTGCTGTTTTCTCTCTAAGTTTCAAGGGGTTTTACCAAGTTCTATTTCCGCAGAAGAAATAACTATTTTGAATTACATTATCTCTTTCTGCTTTGACTAATGAATGCTGTATTCTCGATCTCTTATAAGAAGTTTTGAATATATTTCCTGCAGTTTTCAGCAGTAGCTGTAATGGATATTGTTTATTTTTATAGGACTTTCACCAAGGGAGTATGGACCCAAGCCTGCTCTCCTTACTCAGGCAAAATTGGAATTGAAATTTGATTAACCTGTTTTCATTATGTATTCAACAACAAGCGTTCGTTTGGCATATCACTTTATTTTTTGTATTAAGCTACTACTGAATAGGACTGTATGAAATCTGGTGAAATCTTCATTTCTTTCCTCATGTTTTTGCTTTATGTCTATCTGCCTTTTGTTAGGGCCTTTTTATTCGTAGTCTCTTGATGACTACACTGTCATAAAAATATCAACTTGTAGTTATACAACTCGATACGAGATTTTTCTCTTGTTCTGGAAGATGTAGTATGCAGTCAAGCAGTGTTGTACGTGTCCTCACTATTCCACAGTTCTCCTGTAGAACTTTCATTTACTGAAGTGGTTGGGTTTTTTTTTAAAGTTTTTTTCCTGAGTAAGGAGTTCAGGGTTTGCCCATCTCACGGTCCCATAAATACCAAAGCAAGTTAGCTGATATATAAAATACTTGCTAATAGTTATGTCTCCCATGAATGACTTTATGCACAAAGGTATTTATTCTCTCCCCGTCTCGAGTTCAGACACCCCTGCAACTTATGGCTGTAATTATGAATAGATAAATGAAATTTATTTGACAATAACTAGGCCAAGTTGGGGCATAAACTAAACACTTGGAACTCAATAATGCCTCGTATTTTCTCTTAGTGAAAATTTCCGTAGAAAGACCGTTGTTACAAAAAACACGCTGTTTCTCCTCCTCCTGCTGTAGACCACTGTGAACTTTGATTTTAAATCATAGAAAATTATTCTATATATGGGAGAATGGTTCCTATCACAAATATTACTAAATGACATTTAGTGTCGAAATAATGTTCCCTGATGTTAATTAACGAGACTGCTTTATATTCTTCAAAGCCAGTTAAATGCTGGGTAAGATAAGGAAATTTGCGGTCTGTAATTAATTAATGCAAATCCTGTTGACATTTCCATAATCTAGACCTAGCCCAAGCAAGATTCAGTCCGGCTGCAGGCTTAATTCCTGCAGTCAACAAGTCAGCTGCCACACCTCTGCTAAAGTAAAATAATTGTCAAAAACTGCTGAGGACATGAAGTTCAGTGAATTTCCCCAGTGATAACATCTGAAGGCTCGAATTTAGCAAAGCCTTAGCACGGCCACTATTTAAATGTTAGCCTGCATGGCTGAGAAGCTGAACGCTTCATCCGAGACTACGGAGTCAGCGGGAAGTTTTAAGTCAGAAGTCAGATGTTTCATACATAGCTCAGTTTGGTCCACTATTCTAGGACTTCCTCTTTCTTTATGCCTTTTCATATACATCACTTAGCATATCGCCATTTTCTAATTGGTTTAAGAAAGGCTTTTTGTTTAGAAGAAAAAAATACCAAATTTTGACCCCAAAATTGCTGGAGTTTGTTTCTTTAAATGAAGAACTTAATTACATTTTTACAAAAATCCATTAATGAAACAATTTTGGACTTTTTTCCTGTTTTGTGCATTTATTATTAAGTACTGTGACTAGAAGGTTCAGCA